AAAAAACAAAAAAAGAATTGAGCAGTTTTTCGTAGTCTTTCAAGAAGAAGAAAATTGATGGTAGTTTTTAAAGCGGAGACACTAGTTTCAGATGAATAATCACTGCTTACATATCTGGCTGCTTTTTCCTGAAGATTCGAGCCCCGAGATTAGGTAATTTTGGTGTGGATTCCAACGTATGCTTCCGTACTCTAAGTTTGGTAGGACAAATGTTTTTTACGCGAGCAGTTTTGTTTCAATGGAAGGTAGATATAATATTCGTCAAATGAAACCAATAGCTTTAGTGCGCTATAGTAGCCATTTGCTCGATCGGCTCGTTTCATGATAATGTGTCTGTAAAATGCACGCCAAATACTTGTACGATGATGAGTGTTCTAGTGGTTGTGAAAGTAATTAGTACTGGGTTAGTGCTTTAGTGGAGGATCTAGTTATGGAGATTGGTTTGCATTTAGGAATGTTAATGCTCATCTGCCATTGGGAACACTATGACGATATCGTATCGGAATCGTCTTAGACAATATTGTGTTTAGTAGGTGTATTAGTTTTCCGGTAAATAACGCAATCGTCAGCGTAGTCTTATTGTCGATTAAAATGATCATAGCAGGTAATTGATACGTATCAGAAACAATAGAGGCCCGACTACACTACCGTTAGGTACAGGTGATGCAACATTAACGGGACCCGAATTGCCAAAGAAGTGTAAATGTTCTAAAATTGTGATCTGCTGGTCTCTCGGGTTCTGAGATATTATAGTTTGGAAAATTGATTTCACACATGTTTACAAACTTTTCTTAGACCTGTGATGTATTTGTATAGGTTCATCAATTTAATCCACTCCCTGCCTGTTCAAATATAGTACTTGTTTTGCAGAAAGCTATCTGGTTGGTACACTTAAAACACAACTGTAAACTGTTTCTTGGCGATGTCCTAATGCGGAAACTTTATCTTTGCAACAAAAATACCGTAATAGTGAGCGTTTCCCCATACGCTGATATACTTCGACAGTACCGAGTCTGCGAAACGACAAAGGCATGGGCGGCTACAAACAAGTTATGTACGCAAACGAAAGTGGGCATGGGAGTTTCAAATTCAAAGTTGCTTTCTTTTACAATGCAGAAGAGTGTCAAAAATAAGAAATAGGCCACCTTTCATCACTGCGAATCGAGCCTCCTAGTATCCAGAGGTTCTTCAAATATCCGTCCTGAAAAAAAAAAAAAAAATTATGTACATCTTAGATGCTGTGGATTTCGTGCAGAGATGGCAAAACTACTTTCAAAAAGTAATTAAAATACATTACTAATTACTTTTCTGAAAACTGCAAAATGTAATTAAATTACATTACAAATTACCACACCTTAGAGGTAATGGCATTAGAATTACTTTCCAAAAGTAATGAAATTACTTTGACATTACTTTTGAATACCTTGAGGCAATAAATCGTGATCATTTTATTTAACGTATACACCAACACAGTGTTTTTTTAAAAGGAAGCCCTCGCTTGCTTATGCAGCGCGTCTGCAGGAACCAGATCCGGCAAGAGCGAGGCGCTGCGAATATCACTGCGCCACCGCAGTGATATGACGTAAAGGAGATGAGTTGGTGTACTCTATATGTAGCAAAACACAGATCTTCCAGCTTCCACCGCAACTGCCTTATGGGAATCAAAGTGAAACATACTGAACAGTGGTTTTGCTGGCGTACATGACATAAGTGTTAAACATGATGAATGGCATCTTTAGATGTGACTCAGACACAGTCGACTCACCGGTATTTCTATTCATTCAACGAAGAAGCTTCTGACTAAAAGGGTGATATTGCCGAGCGCAGTGTCACGGACTTCTAGAAGGTACTCGTTTATTCTCCTTCGTTCTCGTTCTAGAAAGTGCGTGTTCATTCTCGCCCCGAGCGCGACGCTCAAGCCTTCTTCGCCGAATCTTCGACATAGTGACTCGATAAGAGGCCGCCCGCGACCTTGTCGAGTCAGTCTCGCCCCAGCGTTCGGCTCTGCTCTTACCCCGACTTCGACGCCCGCGACGCTCTGCTGTTATCTTCTGCTTCCATTTTATTTTTGGGCACAAGTTCGCCCCATTAAACATTTCAGTCTTCCCAGTTATACTCTCTTTCCTCGCCTGTTCATTGGTGACAATATGTTTCCAAGTTCCTTATTTATAAGTTGTAATGGCAGCTCGTTCTTGCAAGGAGTCGTCAAGTGAAATGTGTCCCTACCGCCTCTGACGCTATCTAACTCTATTCTCCCAGGAACACCATACTCGGACGCAACATTTCTTGGCAATGCAGTGGGAAGTGGGAGAGCCCCCGAACAGCTTTATTCAGCGTTCAAAATAGGAAAGGGAACGGGTGCCTGTACCCTCCACTGCATTGCCAAGAAAAATTGTCGCCGTGTATTGACCTTTTTCTTAAGGGCGCCGCCATCTTGAATTGTAGTCACTTCCAGTATGGGCGAAAACATTGTTTTGCCGTCGCCACGCCAATAGAATACATTTAGGATATAAGCGTAACAGTTACCCATTTTCGTTTTGCCTCCCCTCTCTTTTTTTACTATTTGCAGGTCGAAATGTTTTATTTTTTTTTTTTCGTCGCCCATACCGCGGATATGCCTATCAGGTGGCTGGTGACGAGAGTACACAAAAAAAAAGGTCTATAGTTGACCTATTCTCGGTCATTCCTTTCAAGGAGCATTTTCCCCAAATACCCGAAGAGCCCAAGTTTTTGCACATTGTCACACAAAGGGCCTGGATAATCGCTAAGAAGAAGCGTCGCCAGTTGAGGAATGGTGCGAGCTTCCTAAATTGTGTACTTTCCCAACAAACGGGGTGCGATATCTGCTTGTAGGCTCGTTCCCGAATAAACTTTTCAAGGGAAGGCAGCGAGTCATACTGCTAGCGGCACCTGCTTTCCTCGAGGACGCACGAAACTTTTCTGGGGCTTTGACAAGGCATTTGGAATTAACTACTTATTCCGGTCGTTTGTTGTTCGCAATGGCCGAAGCTTATGGTTTGACCTTGCTTGGCGAAACTACAAGGCTCGAAATTTGTTCGTCCTGTCCTTTTAGGTTTTAAATTATGTTTAACTCACTGGTGCTGTGTCCGCCGCCTTGTGGCCTAGGAGCGCGAGACACATGCGCGAAAAATCCATCCGATCCGACGTCCAATCCGGCAATACGACTGCCTGATCCGAAAAGTTTGGTCGCTTCAGGCGTCGGATCGGCGGTCCGGAGTGCATCCAGCGTACCAGATAGTTTCGCACGGCGGACGGACTGTCGGAAGCGTCCAGCCAATGACAGCACAGCTAGCGCGAACGTCAAGATGACGTACTGTGTCTGGCGGGACACACAAGAAAACGGGACTGACCTGGGCGACGAGAGGCCGGACACGTGAATCCCGCTGACCCATTCGAGAAAATGGCCCCAGCAAAGAATGCACGCGCTTGCGGGAAGGAGCTCCTGTTTTGCTGCACCGCACGGTAGCCTGCGGTAACAAACTTCCTATCAATAACCATAAAGCAGTTTGATCACGTGTTGCAATACACTAAAACCGAGACGGTGAGCAGCAAGCTGCAAGCCTGTGACACGAAGGCATCAATACTGTGAACGCTTCTCTTCCGAAGCTTGACGGTCACCGTGCGCGGCTCACTTTTTAGAGCACTAATGGCAGGGCAAGGCGCAAATACGATATCTTCATCACCCTCAAAAATATTCTGCCACAAACAGTGACATGGCCGGTACGTAAAACGCGCTCGCCCATTAAAAAGCTTCGCAAGTCGAGGTTTTTGCAACTTTTAAATATCACCATGCTCATTTTGCTAACGCGCATCAGTATCTCCGTCACCTGCAATATGATCCCGCCCGAACCACTTCGCGTTTGCAGATAAATGAATCATTTTTAGCGCACTGACTAGTGTCAGCGAGCAGGCGCACGGGAAACCCTGGAGAATCTATCCCCGTCTCTTCCGCCAACTTGGAACTACCACCCCGCCACCTATAAGGCGTTGGAGTTGCGAATAGTCCATCGCCTTAACCACTCGGCCACGACTACGGGACGAGATGTGGTAGTAACTCAAGAGCTGGGGATGTCATGGATGAAACGTTGCATGTAGCCGCTCAACGTCTATACAGGAGAGGGCGCTGCGGTCAAATGCGTATATAATTGCGTTAAACTTTGCATGCATTGGCTTAATATTTATAGACGAGAGGGCGCTGCGGTCAAATGCTCGACTGCGTATATAACCACGATCCATACCACACATTCTCTTTCTGACATGGACCGTTGACTTAAGCGGCGGAGATGCGGTCCCACGGCTTTAGCGGATTCAAGCTGATCCGCTAGAAGAACCACTAGATTTGCATTTCACCGACCATAAAGCAATAATAATGAAGTCGAAACGCAACCCGGAACTCAGCACTACCTATGAGCAATAAAAAAAATCAGCACCACCAGCACTCCCCATGAACAACGAAATCAGTATCATCAACACCACCAGAGCTTCGCCCCAATCAACATCATTCACCATGAGGGATGCGGTCATTTTTGTGATTTGGTTTGCGGCTCTTAGGCTGGGTCATCCTGGCCACCCCTGGAATAGACCAATAGAGAACATAAACGGCAAATGTGCGGAGCCATCAGAAGCGATGTTCAATATTGTTACGGGAACCCGAACTTTCCACCTATTTGAGAAGGTGTGGACAACTCGCATATTTATGTATTCTTCAGGTAAAAAGGCGAACAAGTGCCAGAAGCTACAAAGCATCAGAAAAAGCCTCGTTCACTTTCCTAAACGTTCTACCTAAAGCCAATGTTGTCACTATCTCACGCTCGTTGCCAGCCTCATCAGCGTAACATCCTTATGCGCTCGTGCTTGCCCATGACAGCACTTCGATTGAAACAGACTTTGATTTTTTAACTATTCATGCGAAGCTTTTTAATCTCTTATTCGTTTCAGTGACATCAGCTAAGTTATATAGAACTTGAACTTTTTTGCAGGAAACGTCTTGCCTGGACGAAGGAGCCTTCGGACGGACAGCAGGCACGGCTGTCCCAGACGCTATAATTCTAAGTAAGTCATAGACTACTTTTTATGTTAGCAATTTTACAAAACTTGGTTCACTGTAGTTATATGTTAAAAAGGGAGGTAGTGGCGGCGTCTGGTAAGCGAGCGATCGTCTCAAATGCAAAGGATACCCCGCGTGGTGACAGCATCTGTAAATGAATTCTTTTTCATCCTCGTTATATTTGTCTAATGAGCAAGCACCTCTAATGGTATCTATTTAAGAAACAAGAATACACTGACACAAGCTTAGGAGCTCCGCCCACTAGGGTCATCCACCAAAGTCAATAGACCGATCTCACTAAGCATTCCAAGTATCCGTGACGCCGCCCTAACTGTAGTTCACGTGCAGCAGGCGCTCTTGCACTAGGTAGCTCATGCCGTCTGGTGCTCTGCTCACGCAAACCTCCAGTGGGGTTGACGGACGTGCAAAAAAACTGCAGTCCCAACGATGTATGGTGACATTGGTTGCGTAGGAAAACTAGCTGGTGACATCGGTCTAGTTCCTCCACTGTCGAGAAAGCAGTAAGTCGTCTGGTTAGCGATATCAGAGCATCAGCGTGGTGCGGGAACGGATAGAGTGAGGCTCATTGCCACTTATCAAGTGGGAAATTGTACTCGAATTTCTATTACCGCACAATGTGTTTATGCGCTGGATTTTATGCAAAAGGTTGAAGCTCAAGTGTGACGAAAAAGCATTACAAGCAGGTCAGTGCAACATGCACCCACCGCCCATGGTATAGACTTCATCAGCATCCAAAGATAAGGCATTATTTTTCATGATTATTCATGCATACTCACAATCGTAGCTTAATCTAGGAAGCCAAATTTACCAAGCGACTCATTCGAAATAACACACCGGACCGTGAGATCCGCATCCTTACAGCTTTGTTTGGTCCCACCAGAGGTGAAAGAGAGCGCAAACTAGACCAAGTATGACTCACTTACGTCGGCGTGAACAGGTAACCGTCCGCGCCCGCAGCTGACTTCCGCATAACGAAGCAAGGCTCCCAACGTAATCAAACATCGTCAGAGTGCAGACAATAAGTCACTAACTAACGTTACCACATTAGCTCAGTTGCGGAACTCCCGCGGAAGACGTACCCCCACTTCCGCTCCACTCCGCCTCCCGTCGTTTCAAGCGCCATGTTGGATTTTGTTTAAAAATCTGTATGGCCATAGAGTACGGAGGGACTTACCTAGACGCTGTACTTTAAAGACATTCACAGTTTAAAAATACAGTGCAGTTACCATAGCAACCGTGCACGAAACCGTGGTGCGTCCTCTATAAAAATGATTTCTGACTTTTTACTCAAAACGTGTTGAATATTTGTTGACTCCGATTGCTTTCTTTTGACTTGGACTTCCTGTTGACATGGTCAACAGAAAGTTGGTTGATCTTGTGTTGAACCTTTTCTGATGATTTTCTTCAGCCTGAGTCAAAAGACAAGCTGTTGACTTTCTATTTGCGTTCACTTTTTTCTTTTGACTTTTTATTGACAGTGTCATCAGAAACACTGCAGACGTTCTCTTTAATTAGTGCTAAAAATGTTCAATTGACTCTGTAGCCAGTGTCAACAGAAAAGCTACATACTTTTTGTTGACTTTTTATTGAACATAGTACACCTCGACTAGATGCCAAAAGTCACTAAGTTTCTCAATAATCTCTCGCAAGGTGAGAACGGTAGGAAGCAGCTTCAGTTGTCCCGCCTCCAGCGCGAGCCTTCTACCCTTGGCAACGCTTCGTCGTTCACGCACCCTCACCACGCGCACGCAGTCAAAGAACAACGGAAGGCATGGGGCGCTTGCTAAGCGTTCAAAAGATACGCCCGGTTGTTCTCACTTTGTAAGTGACTATGGTGACTTTAATGATCATATTGAACTAGTCAACTAGTAAAGAAAAGAAAAGTAACTATTTTAAAGGGGGGAAACTGCCTTGACTCGCTTTTTCCTGAGAGAAGCGATAACATTTCTTCTAGGAGCCGTTTTTGTGGATGTTGGTTGAGCGACTGCGCCGAATCATTATTAGTTGTGTCAACTTCAAAATACTGTTTTCCCTTTGACAAACTCCCGAGAAGGAGATCGAATACTTGGAAACTTAATAAGTGCTGAGGTGGTCACTGGCCAAATTATTACCTTCAATATGTAGGCTATATAAGGCTCTGGAGCAGTCAATGGGGCTGTGATCGAGGTGTTCAGTGCTTCATGAGATTGTGTTTGTGTTCCTGTCTAATGTGTATTTCTGGGATCTATCTAGTGCTTTCAGATACTACAGAGACACCATTTCTTAACAAAATCCAAAATAAAATAAAAATATAGAATACCTGCTTTTTTAACGTTATTTTGGTGCAGTCAACTTCGAGCAGAGCGGAACGGCGTAATGAGTCTCCAAGACTGTGTTGAATGAATAACTGAGGTGTAAAACATTTTTTCTTTTTAAACGACTGCAGTTTTCAGTTAAAAATCTTTTCCTTTCAAGAGCTACAGGAAAAGCATCTTGGAGTCGACAAAACATCTGCTGACTTTTTTATTAAAAAGTGAGCTAATGTTTAAAAGAAAGTCAACTGAAAAGCTAGAGAAAGTCAGATGAAAAGCTGTTGACATTTTATATCCTGGGATTACTTTTTTAAACAGCCTTTCAACAAAAAAGCACCACAGTTTTTGTAGGGGATCGAACGACGAGAGGAGGAGGGGTACTGCTCGTGTAAGTAGCGAGTGTTCTGTAATTAAGTTGGTCTAATAACGTTGGCACTAACGGACAGCGGAGTGGGCTTATGAAGTAACGAGGTAGCACAGCGGTCCATAGATAGATTATTGGATGCGACAAACCTCCTACCCCCCTAATTACTACCGTTACCAGAAGCCGCTCCGCGCAATCCAAGGTCGTAGCGGCGTCCGCTTCTCTTCACGGTAGGTTCTGCGGTTAACACCAAAAAAGTATTACATTGCTTATGACTAGCTAAATTGGCACGGCTACTTTAAAACTGTTTTACTTCATTCGGGCTGCCTCTTTTGAAGGCTCTACGAAAATATTGATCATTGAATGATGTACTTTATTAAACCCATAGCCCATGAAAATGTCGGTATTCCGATAGGTCGCACGGTAAACCAGCTGATCAATAACTATCTCGTCCTAACCTGCATAAAAGGTTCAACTTAAACGAAATAACTTGTGTGCTCTACTATCATGTACCTTTTTTTAAAACAAAAATTAAGCTTGCCGTGACCATTCTTATACTCCCGGGATGCACATCAAGTGTCGTGCTAATTATGTGTGCATGATTATGTTGTTACGCCTGGTTACGCGTAACAACACAGCTTTTGAGGAAGGGAGAGGGCACTGACTGGAGAATATGCCCCCCTCCTCTTTCGTACTCTCTCCTCCTCCCGTGCTCCTTCCCTCGTCCTCTGCTTCTCCTCCTTCTCCTCTCAGGGGGTATTTCGATTTAGCGACCATACCGTGATAACAATCTGAGAAAGATATACAGGGCGTTTCACGAAAAGTGGACAAATTCGATATTGCGAAAACTATTCGTCCAACAAAAAAGGCTTCTGTAGTTTTGGTTCTGGGCCAGGGGCCTATTTAGTAATATTCTTAAAGTCCGGGAAAATTCGAGTGTTAATCATTTTCCTAAATGGCCCCCTGGCCCAAGACCAAAACGACACAGGCCTTTTTTATTACCTGTAGTTTTCGCAATATCGAATTTTTCCACGTTTCCTGAAGCACAAGTATATATATATATATATATATATATATACCTATACCGGGTGTTTTTTTTTTAAGCTTAACAGATTTGTTTAAAAAAAGCCGTGAAAGTTATACTTATGCCGCTTGTTGAGGTGAGTTAGACGGCCAGGGGGACATAATATAGGTGGCTAATTGTAACAATCAGTCGAATAATTAATTAAAATTTGTGAATTAACTTTTTAATTAATGAAAATAGACATATGGTTACAATTAGAAACTTGCTCAGCGCCATTTAAAACCACTAAATCAGTAATTTTCAGGAAGACGTTTAGCGCGTGAGAAGCGTAGTAGTGCACTAAAGTTACCACTCCTGGAGCAGGTACGAAGCTAGCGGTAGCGATAAGGCGCCCACGCGATTTTTCCGCCCCTTATCTAGCCCCAGCCTTGTACCTGCTCCACGAGTGGTAAATTTAGTGCACTACTACGCTTCCCACGCGCCGAAAGTCTTTCTGGAAATGACTGATTTAGTGGTTTTCGATGACGCCGAGTAAGTTTCTAATTGCAACCATATGCCTATTTTCATTATTTGAGAAAGTTAATTAACGAATTTTAATTAATAGGCCGACTGATGGTTACGATTAGTCACATATATCATGTCCCCCTGGCCGTATAACGCACCTCCACAAGCGGCGTAAGTGTAACTTTCACGGCTTTTTTTAAACAAATCTGTTAAGCTTAAAAAAACACACTTTATATATATATATATATATATATATGTATAAAGAGAGAGATGCAAGGTGCCGATAGAAAACAAACCAGGAGGATTTTATTTGACGTTTTGACATGAGGCAGGTCTTCGTCGGGAAAAGGGTTACAAGAAAAATATGTTCTATTTATACAGTTCTTAGAGGGGAGAGAGGTCGCATACAAAGAAAGTGCGTAGGGAGAACCGATAAGGGTGCACCACCCAGAATCTCACGCAAAAGAAGGGACGAACTCTAAGTCGGGGGCAACCGCGCACGGAGATCCCAAAATAGAAAAAGGCGAGGAGGAGAGTAGGTGACAAATTAAATGACACACTTCGCATAAAAAAAAAATAAAAAAGGCGCGCTCTTGTACTTGTTGTTTGCTCTCCTTTTCGCCTCATCTATAGTGGAACCGTGCAAAGGAACCGGTATGCGGATCAGGTGGTAGAGACATGATTCCATTTGAGCCACTGGGTAAATCTCGCTTATTGCAGTTAATTCCGTCTGATTATGGGTACGTAGGAATAATTTTGACAATGAATGCCTTCTATCTGCCTGCTTATGCATTGTCAACT